ATCGGCTTTCGTTTCTCCATTCATAAGTCCTTCTGCCTTCGTTAGCTTCTTCCGGTCCTCGGCTTCATCCCGAAGTCAGTGGATCACCTCTACTACGCCTCGGAGATCTATGCTGATACGTACGGTGGTGTATACCACATGAGGTGAGGAACACACGAATACTGTCGAATATGCGAGAGTTAAGTATTTTCTCTCCTCAGATTCGTCGGTGGAGACATGATTGTCGTATCCGATCCTGAGCTGATTCGACAAGTTCTGAATGCACGCCCGAAGACCTACATAAAGCCCTTCAATAAACACAAGATTGTGCCGGTGGACGGTATGTTTACTACAGAAGGGGAAGTGTGGAGGCGGAACAGACGATTGGGTGCGCCGGCATTCAACGACATCAACTCATCGGCTATGATTCCCGATATGTCCAAAGTTGCTTCAAGGCTGGTGAGGTCTGGATTGTCCTCCCTTGCCTCTACGTCACAGTGTGCAGATACGACAATTGAAGTCCCTCAGTCAAGATGGTGTCATCGTATGGCGCCCCACAGAATGGCTTCCCCTCTGCACTTTGGATATTTTATGTGTCACCACCCTCGGAGAGGATTATAATTTCGTGAATCCAGATGGTGAGCACCGATTTGAGCGCATGCTTTGTGAACCCTACTCAGAAACTAAAAATTCAATGATACCGTCTCAGCGAGACAGTATCGAGATTTACTCCACGCTCTTCGATAGGTGTGTCTCTCGGACAACAGTCCGGAGAGCTGCAGCTAGCGATGGAAGAGCTATTGCTGGGCTCGGGTTACGCTGCCCAACGTAGTGCTATAGCATGGACGACACGAGATAGATTCCCGTGGAATCTCAATCCGATGATTAGACAGGTAGACACCTCACTCGACGATAAAGTCGTCGTTCGATTATCATTATTAGATGCACTCTGGGGCGAAGCAACTGAGAAGAATATGTGATGAGATCATCGCCAAACGGCGAACGGAGCGAGACGCGGGAGAACGAGGGGAAAGACGCGACTTGCTCGACAAACTTCTGCATCTCGACGAAGCCGACCTGCGAGGGAACCTTATGACGTAAGTCCCCGTTCTTTCATTTTGCACTTGCTTTGCCATATATGGGCTGGATATTATCAGGTTCCTCATTGCTGGCAGCGACACCACCGCTACGACTGTCGCCTGGTGTCTCTGCTATCTGGCCCTATACCCTGGAATACAGGACAAGGCCAGGGCCGAGGTGGATGGCCTTGGGCATGATCCCGATACGATAGAGGATCTGGACGAGCTAGTCTATATCAAGTGTTGTATACTCGAGGCCCTCAGGGTGAGTCCCTGGCAAATCGAGTGTAAGGGTCGGTTCTCAGTTGGAGCCACCGGCTGTGCTCCTCCTTCATGAGTGTCCCCACGACACGGAGCTTAACGGCCACCAGATCCCTTCCGGGACAAATGTGATGACCCTCCTTCGCAAGGTTATGATTACGGAGTCTCAGGGCGGCAAAACCTTCAAGTATATATGTCCTCTCCACTTAGTCCCAGGATGCTATTCATCTCAGTCCCGAGCGTTGGCTCCTCTCTGACGGCTCTTCAATCGACCAAGCCCGTGAACGTGATCATCTAGCATTCGGTGGAGGGCCTCGCCAATGCCCTGGACAGAACATGGCCATCAAGGAGGCTGTGGTTATCCTGGCTCTCATCCTGAGGCATTTCCATTCCATGACATTGGCCTGTCCCACTGCTACTGTTCGTGGCGAAGCGAGATTGTCATACAAACCTCAGAGTCTCGAGCTGAAGATGTGTCAACGACTTAGCTAGCGGCGCTACTCTGCGATTTCACTGCGCTTCTAGCGCTCAGGTTTATTTCCGGACTCAAGACAAAACGTGCGTCGAGTAGCCTTCTGGTATAGGCTGGTATTGATTTCTTCCAATACGAAGTTCAGTACAATTATAGTACCTGATTCCAGCCCGATATAGTGTTCTAGATGGCATAGATATACGAGCCTTTTAGCGAGTATACTCAGACCCTGATTCTGAGACTCAGAGTATTGATAGTTGCCTTGTTAATACTCTGTAGTACAGAGCCTGCACTTGCAATGCAAGTGGTAGCCAGCTTTGCAAGTCTTGCATAGCTGGCTCGTACCGCTATATTCTATAAGATATTGAGGAGTCTCTCCCCCACCCATCCGTTGTGGTGTTCGCCCCGGTGAAACTGATCAGTCACCAGCTTCTACAATATCTGGTACTGCTAAAGGTGGAGGAGATGACAGGACTCCTCGCTGTGTCCGTGGTCTCCTGAAGGAGGCGATGTTAGAGTCACATATGTCAGAGTCACTTTACACTGAGAGGGCTCGTCCGTCCCGAAGCCGGTGCTAATCAAGCTGAGCGTGAGAGGTTCGGAGCCAAGACAGCCGGCATCCCTCACTTGAGGGCCTCAATGCTACAGCAGTCGTCGTGGCATGTTCACTATCCAAGGTGATTATCATAACTCTGATCACTTCGTGGCCGAGTTGAGATTATCCTCCGGCTCAGGTAGGCTCGAGGGCTGACCAGCGGCTTGTTCGAGGAAATTGGGGAAAGCCGGACCTATTGAGGGCTGTGTTGCTAACTCGGGTACTGGCAGTACCGTACTGTCGAACATATGTCTCCCTCGCTTGGGTATATTATCCTGGCAAAGGTCAAGAAGGCAAGACGGAACTTCTGGTGCCGTTGTGAATGCACTGAGAAATGCCATGTTCGGCTGGAATCTCGACTCGAGATTGTCCCCGACAGTCGGGGTCCGACTGTCAAACGGGCCGAGGGCCCACGAGCAGTAACGCATGGTGTCGTGGATTCTCGCCGCGACGTCATCTTTTGAAAGCCTTTCTTGAACCTTTTGAATCCGAGGTTGACGAGTCGCAACCGTCGTCCGCTCGAGAGGTTGGTTCATATCTTGGCAAACTTGTTGGCAACAGGTTGTTGCACATCTACCTAGCGCTGGATACTTGCGTGTCTGTGTTGCTATCGATCGTCGTCTCCTGAACCACTCATATGGTTAGGATCGATCGACTCGATCACGCTCTGTACCTGAAAATGTGCGAGGTCACGTCAGGCATTTACTTCATGCTATTCGAGAATATGGTCATCCTGCTTCTGGCCAGTGGACCTTATTCCAACGTTATGTTGGGCGAACTTACGGAGGCTGTGGTTCTCACTAATCAAGCGGATACGATCATCGCTGATGGTTCTTGGGCCAAGAGTCGACTCGCTCCTACTAGTGATATTACAAGACGTCGTAAGCCATCCACATTTTCAAGCCCGCCATTGTGCGTTTGACGTATGCGTGCGAGGCTGGCTCCACTACAATGGAGCAAAGTCATATTCGTTACACCGCGAATAATGTACAACAGAACTTATAGCAGGGCTTCGGGTAGCAAGGATAGACATCAATGAGAGGGCTGTCAACTGGAAGTAATTAGAAGAGACTAAAATCTTTACTCGGTGAGCAGCAATCTGCGTTACGTTGTGCGGAGACCCCGGAGTGTGCGATCAGACGATAGTAGGTCACAAAGGCTTCCGCGTAGGGCGCGTCACCTGCATATGGTGGGAGGGGCTGTCCGAATCGGACAGTATTCATCTTTGACACGCCTTTGATTCGTTGAGTCCAAGATTGACACTATCTCATCTGCAGTGTAGGACCCGATCCATACTAGGGACGGCTATGTGTCGATCCTCCACTCCGAGGGCTTCCCTAATGATCTTGTATTGTTCGCGTGCGCAATATCGCGACGCTGGTTGTGACTCGTGCACGATCGGTCCCGTTCATTGCACGCATTTCCATGAGGCATTGTTTGCTAAATCTCTGCGGCACCGCAATGGGTTATCACCCTACCTTTTTTCTGTATAGACTCTCATTCCCCATATTCTGATGCCGAAATCGCACAACCTATTTGAGACCCCATATTCGAGGAACGGAGGGGTTGAGTTGCCACCAGTCACCCCAGGGTTTGAGTTAGCCGAAGCTACACATCCGAGAATAACTATACGCATCCAACTTTCCAACTTTGAAACTTGCACAGGGAAAGGTGTACTTCCAAAACTCAGACAATGTGGCATCTCTCTGTTTGATGACTCCTCTCTTTCCAAATTGTTCGTATCCTCGATTCCCTGTGAATTCATGAAGATTTCGCCAGCGGCCTTGGATGCTGTCCGCATCCTGCTGAACAAAGTCAATTCGCCACTGTGCTACGAAACCTAGATCGACCACTGCGTCAACAAGAGTCTTGACTAGTTCCAGCCCTCGAAACGTGTTCTCGGTACTGTTTCACAATTCTTTCCAAAGATCGTTGACATCACCATGAGTGAAGTGAGTACTAGAGATGGCACTATACACGAGAACCTCCACTGACAAACTCAATATGTCGTAAAGGAAACTAAAGAGCGAGCAAATGTAGCGGGACAATTGCAAGCGATGGGAAAATCGGCGGGACTAATTATTATGCTCCGGACATCTTGAAATGATCGTCATCGTCAGTGGTGTAGAGCTGCCCATCATCAGTTAGAGCTGTCATTAGTTGATTAATCTGACCAACCATCATCATCACCACACATCGACCTACAATACCCCTCACCTCGTCAGTGTGGAATCGAGTGCTGAACCTCATCAACACCTGTTGGCGAGAAAAGGCAGCGTTCATCCCACCAAATGCCGCCCTTAATTCCGGCAGAAGCAACTGCCTAGCTCTGGCAAGGACCGCGTTCCCACCAGCCGAACCTTGAGAGCAGCTAATCACACGAAAAAGAAGAAGAAGACTCACTCATCCTCTGCATCAAAGGTCTGTTGTTAGCTTGTGTTTGATAGGACGCTGGCTGGCCGAAATCTGATAAAAACCCCAGTACGAATTGTCAAAAACCAAGCACAATCACCACCCTGTTTGGGGGCATTCTGATTAGCAGGTGGTGCCGTCCCTGGGTTCTGTAGAGCAGCCTTCATCTTAGGAATCTCATCGGTGAGCATGACCATAGCGTGGGCAACAGATATCATATGATGGGCGATACGATCCGGCCTGAATAGCCCCTTCCTATGACTACGTATAGATGTCCATATACTACGATCGTATAAACTTGGACAAGTTCAGCGAGAAGTGGTATTATGAACACGACGGAATGAGCAATATCCAAAGACTATCGCCACCACAAGGCATTTATTCGATGCATAATTATGTACCTCCTACCCTCCTAACGGGCGTAGTCTCACCCATCGTCGTTTCAAGACTATTACGCGCGACTTCAAGACGCCCTCCCCAGTGGGTCCTATACTACGTCGATATGGGCTCAATATGGTGAGCCGTGATGTTATTCTCCGAAGAGAAGCGTCGCAGGCGACCAACCACTGACACGTATTGTCCAACACGAATGTCATCAACAGGAGCATCTGAACCAAACCACTAAGACCCTTATAAGACCAGCCCCTTTACCTGTCATCGCCGACAAACTACTCTCAACGAATCGTGTGGCCCGAACACATCCAGTGCCGTCATCGATCGTGTACTCCATACCACTACAGGAACGCTCATAGGGACAACAACTCAGGTCACAACAACACTCATCACTGGTCATTATAGTGACATATTCTTCGATTTTAGTGACAAATATGTATACTACTTGTCAGCCCTCCTCTGCACGTCTATGACCGCTCCCACTATCTCTATCATAAACGCCTCCTTACCATGAAACCTTATAATCAGCACCGTGGTCTTCCATAAGATCGTATATACTACTTGAAATTCGCTTCGCCGACCTCCATCTCCTTAAAGGCGTTGATAACCATAGCTGCTGTGACCGGTATAAGCCCCATAGACTCCCTCGCGGAGGGGTCCGACTTGGATCGACCCGTACTAGGCGAGACCGGACCGAAGCCTCCAACAACAGACTCTGACAGGATCAGCAGCCTTGCCAGTGCCGACTCTGACTTGAATTATAGTACGTCTCCCTGGACTGTTATAGAAGCCGCCGCCGCCACCCTGGCCCCCGGCCATACTCTGGGTCATCCCAGCGCCACCACCGCCAAAGCCTCCTCCTTGAGAGGCACCGAAACCTTGAGGAGATTAGAGTTTCACCCGTTTAACGGGAAGTGGCCTAATACTCTGTGGAAAAACCCATATTCGAAAATATATTATTGATATCACTAGGGTGGTGAAACTCCATTGTTATCATCATATTTAGTATAATTCTATCGCAGGTAGCACGTCTAGTAGGCGAGCTGCATTACGTTGTTACCTCCAAAGCCTCCATAGCCACCGAAACCACCGAGGTCACCACCGCCAAACATAGGGAGAAAAGTAGTAGTAGTACTGTACGACTGCGTAATTCACCACTACAACACTACAGACTGCTTTCAGAGACTCCTTCGAGTTTATCTACTTTCCAGATCATCAAAGATACTTTTCAAGTCGACTCACGTTACTGCTCAATGATGCTAAAATAGATACAATCTTGAGCGGAGCGAAGCAGCAGTAGTGGTACTATCTTACCCCGGGCATGCCCTGCATCATTCCAGGAGGGGGTGGAGGCATCCCTGGGAAGCCAGGCATTGGTGGCATTCCTAATCGATCAAAGATACCATCGTACGCACTACGAAGATTCCATCCTACCTGGAGGGGCACCAGGGGCCATTTGGGCAGGAGCAGGGCCACCTACACCACGTATCTGTCGAGAAGAGAGGGTGATTCAAAGACGATGTGAAGAAGGAGTGGTACCGGTCCAGTAAGGCCTTGAGGAGCCTGACCCAAGGGCGCGATTGGTACACCGCGACCAGCTGCATGTCCACGACCAGGCCCAGCCTAAAACGCCAAACTCGCCCGAGACGCGGTCACCATCGTCATTTCACTACCAAAGGTCCCTCACTCTTCTTCACATTTGGCGGCGGCGCCTCCGCAGTCATCGATATAATATTTTCCCCACGTAGAATCTATTGTGACGAAGATACAACCAGGACTAACCTTACTACGCCCAGTACCAGCAGCCCGAGCATCCGCTTCACCTCCCTCTCCTCACCGAGACCAGACTCCCCCTTAGATCGGACCTGTGCATTCATATACGCATTATGACATTTTCAAGAGCAGCGTTACTTTTCGGAATTCCTCAGTGTCGGCTAAAACCAAGTTCATGTGCTTGTCGAAAGCCATGAACTGTCCGATCTGACCATAGCCGATTTCCAACTATTAACGACTAATTATTACTACCATAATTCTGCCGTCGTGAAGAGTGACTCTGACTCGATAGTTCAGCCATTGCTGCATCTTAGTGTTTCTCCCAACAGCCGGCATGATATAGGGAAAAGAACAAGTCGGCAGCAAAGGTAATAATAATGCCACCTGCCCTCGGCACGTGTTGCAGGTTCCGAAGGAATTCACAAACCTTTTATCGGGGCGCGCGCGAGTGTTATTAGCGGAGCGAAGTGAATCATGAATACGTTTTTGGCGAGCCTGCAGATCGCGCGCGCCACATCGCAAGATCCAAAACGACCACAATATATGTGCCAAGCCTTGACCACCTCTGCCTATACTCGTACATCCCTCAGCGGGTGCCTTGGAGTATGGTGGGGTTTCTCTCCGTTGATGCCTGTTTAGCTCTTTCTAGCGTTTTATTCTATGGGCTGCTACTATGTGTATACCTGCTCTATCTTACCCTTGCATTATATCTCATGCCACACCGTTCCCTCTAACGATTTTGTCTCATGATATTCCTGCATCACTGTCTACTTGTCGAGGATTGCTTTCACATTTGACCTGGCTTTTGTCAGACTTCGGCCTTTCTTTCTACTGAGTTACGTCGTACTTGCCACTACCTTTGCCCAACAGTTGCTCCCGTGTTCTTTCGCTCAGTTGTCTCATTTTATGCATTCGCATTCGCCCCGCTTTGTTAGTCGTTCTTCCTTGTCGTTCCAGGTACTATCAATTCGGCATCGTGCCCGAAATCGTTTGGTGGACAAGACGTCAACACCACGTGCAGCACCAGTGGCGGCGGGCTATTATCCTTTTCGAATACTACCTCAGTTGGTTTTGCAGCGAGCATAGTCTACCACGGTCTACTGTATGAACTGGTAATCATCGCGATGTCTTCTCGCTCTCGACAATCTTACTGTCAATGTTCACCATCATGATTCCCGGTATATTCTGCCCAGTGCCGAAGGAGCAAGAGGAGCGTCTATAGTACCGTCGTCGACTTGACTTACTTCCCCTACCCAACCACAACTGTCTTCTGTCTGCCGCGTAAACCCTGTTCTGGTGGTTCATTACCCTCCCTGTGCTCCTCGTAGCATACATCGTGCGATGTCATCATCTTTGCATATGTTAGAGCTGCCCGGGGTCTATATCGTCCTCTTTATAGTAGTTGTATTTCTTCCCCAATCAATTCAAGCCCTTTTTTCTATTGTAGGTATTATACCTGACCCCGCTCTTTGCATTATCTACCTTTCTCTCTCGTTGTAGTAGTAGCAGCCACATATCTCTGATGTCGACGGGGTTATAGCCTCACTGTTTCCTTGGGTGCTTCTGAGCCGGCTATTGTACGTTTGAGGGCGATCGGCTGCTAACTGGTTCTACTACGCTCTGTTAGAACTACGTGTTCTAGTCTGCACTGCAAACTCACTGACTCTGTGAGCGCGGCTGCTAAACAGTAGCGATTCACTACTAGTGAACAGTGGTGTTTCAACGGCGAGCACGATAGACCTCCCCTGAGCTTCATGAGCGATCACAGGCATCGATTCAAAACTCGATCCTGGGGTGAAACTCAGTGGAGGTAACCCCGCAGACTTCTACAAATTGAGCTATATCGTGGATGTGCTATAAACATTCACCATCGTTGGCTCCTCTCGTGCTATTAGTACTAGTAGTAGTAAATCCTCCGCTTCCAATCGCCGTGTACAAACCCAAACACACAAGAAAAGGAGTAGATTTGCCAATTGTGGAGCGAGCGAAGCGAGCGGAGCGTATTCTCTCACTTTACTAACACTTTGTGCGTGCGTGCGTACAAATTATCCAGCTCGATCTAGAGAGGTTATGATCACATGCTATACACCATTCGATAGCTCTCGCTCTGGGGACACTAGGAAAAATACGAACTTATGGTTCCGCCCGGGCCATGTAGATTTCCGTGCAAAAAACATATTTTTGCAGAAAAACGCCAGGCATGGGAATCGAACCCGGATGCCGAGCTCCGCCCCTTCTCCGAGAAGGCCTAGTATAAACAGTACGAGTGGTAAATCAACTACAAGAAAGAATCAAGCAATTGATGTATTTGATAACACTCTGACATCATCTAAGTTCTTCACTCAACTATATCAGTCAACTCTTTAGCTAAGCTTGAATCCACAGCTTGAGGTGAAGCATCGTGGTAGAATAATTCCAAGATGCCAAGATTCTGTGACAGAGTTAACTGGTCATGTTTCGCACAGGAGTCATTCGGCTTTTCGTGTGGTTCCGAGCATCGACTTGAGGAGGACGTTGAACTGACACTCTCACGCTAATCAGCAACTTCAGAAACGATGTCTTTGACCATCCCAAAATATCCCCCTACGTTGTTGTGATCCTTTTACGCTAATCAAAATCGGTGTTGTGCTACTCCTAGTTGACGGCTAAAACATCACCTCCATGTTCTACAGCGTTTCCAGGTCAAATCAATTTTTTGCCAATAGTTTGTTTTTTCACTCGTTTGCTTAATGCTTAATGCTTAACACTTCTCATTAACATTTCACGGTGAGAATTAATTTATTGAGAATTTAATATTATCTACCCGATAATGCTACAGATTACTATTTGTGAGGAAATGTTGTACGCAAGTATCTCCTGTGATTTCAGATTCTTGTGATACTTGTCTCCCTTGCTAGCCTAGCGCATACTCAATGACTACGGTATTGATCATAAGTTAAGAACCACTTGTTAATAACTCTTGTTAACCTATCTAATCCTGACACTATTGCTCTCGATCCGAGGCGTGTCTTTGTGTTCCACTAGTGGTATTGAGTTATTATGATTCAGTTCTCTCACGGCATTCACGAGTCTGAGTCGTATCTCGTACTCCACAGCCACATTATAATGAAGTTTCACCCTGATGATATGGAAACACTAGTGAAAAACATACTTCACGACTACTGCATACCCCGTTTCACGCCACTTCACGTAAAACGGGTCGTGAAACTCCACTAACCTCCTCAACAGTGTAACGAGTGATAGAAGCATTATTTATTAACAGCAACGTGCTTCTTATAGTATTCTCGTACCACTTCTCGTTTGTAGAGAACCTACTATGAAACACTGATTAGTATACGCTATATCGGAATCCGATAATCAGATCTGCTGCCAACAACAACAATCATTGACGATACGGTAAAATGTTATACATCATAATCTCAATATTAGTAGTTATTATCATGATGATTCATTTATTGGAGTTTCACCACCCTAGTGAAACACATTTCACGACTACTGTATAGCGCGAATGTCGGTTTTTCTATAGAGCATTTTGCCACTTCACGTAAAATGGGTGAAACTCTATTATATTTCACGAGAGTGGACCTTTAAACATGTCAACTACTATAATACGAGTATTATTCACATTGCTAGACGTGTTTTGGAAGGCTACCCTCTGGTGGATCACATCGTTCGCCTTGTACCGCGACAGTGATAATGATAATCAGAAGATTGTCAATTGATCTATTTTCACACCGGCCTTAGCCGTGCGTGAGACACATATTAGTTATTATATATATAAGTGTGAAAATACAATAATGGAGTTTCACCACCCTAATGATATGAAAAACACTAGCGAAAAACATATTTCACGACTACTGCATCTCGCCGCGAATATCGCGTTTTTCACCGAGTACTTCATATGAAACGGGTGAAGCTCCAATATAATATAGACATCTTGATAATCATACTACTACTCATACTACTTTGCCCTACCACATACTACTATTCACAGTGTGGGGGGAAAATATGCACATCCTCGACAACATGCGTTGGTGACAATATGGAAATTCGGAAAATTCTTCAGGAAATTCTCATAAGTTTCTGTTCATCCCTACCCAGTATATATAAACTCGCACGATTACTGAGGAAGCTCCTAGACTCAGCTGAGGAAAGCGAACATATATTCCAACACTGACTACTTTAACTTTTCCTATCTCAAACTCAACAAATAGAAGAACAAATTCCAAATTTCTCCAATTCCGTTCGATGAACTTGAAATTGAGAAGGTGTGGTATGGAGCTTAGTAAAGTTGAGAATAAAAGTTTACCTTGAGAACCTGTGGCCTAGCTTTCATCAAGTACTCCTGAGCGTCCTCAGGGGACATGCGGAAATGCTGCATAAGCCAACAAATGACGATTGTGCCAGACCTGATCGACTGCTCTCACTAGCTCATTGAGTTATCTTGAAAAAGGTGAATTGCATAACGGTTTGGTTCACACTGTAGAGTGCCGCCCGACTGACATGGTGTGAGAAAAAGTGCATATGAACATTCGTCGGTGACAATATGCAAATTTTGGGGAATATTTCGTGTACACTTCTACATGGATTTGTATATAAAATTCGTATAATTAGCGATAAAACTATTCAACTGAGTTGGGGAAAGCGAATATATATTCCGACACTGGTGCGGTAACTCACCTCCCTTTCCCTGCTTTACAATGGACATAAACACACTTGCCAGCTTCTAGCTGCTCATCGATGTAACTGATGTAAAATGGTGAGATTATGATCAACTCATTGTCTCACTCGACAGCGGCTTCCACAGTGTGCAACTCTGGCGAGACGAAATCAATCATGGGGAATGACCGCGACTCCACCGAAGAGTTTCCAAACTCCCTGTTCAGTGTGCTAACAAATACTGTCACCCCTGCCTTTTCCACCAGGGCTTCACGCATCGACTGAAAAGCACCGAGAAGATCTCATGGTATCCACACTAGAAGAAATGTTGGTGGAAGCCGTGTAAAGGGAATTGACAGGAAGCCTGGGTTTTACGCCGCGCAATATTGCTTCTAATACAGTGCTCCAAATTTATTTGGAAAATAGTCTAAAAATTTAATCTCGCGTCACTCACTAAGAGTTGGAACATGATTTATCAATACGCTATTCGTTACAACGATACGAGTACACTCTCCAAAAACTGTGACAGTTTCAGGCCTACATACTAAGACAGAGTCGAGCGAGAACTTCACCATTGTTGTGGTCACATTCACAGCGGCTTGGTGGAATTTTCTAGCATTTCAATTCAGCTTGGGATTTCCGAGCAGGAGAAGTCCTTCACACTACATACCCTAGGAGTCGTAGTTCTATTCCAAAGAGTAGTGACAATGTGGATTCACTTAACGTTAAATTGCAGTAGTGTACACAGTACGGCTGTCACCAGAAGTTTATTAGAGTTTCATCCGTTTTACGTGAACTGGTGTAAAACTCCGCGGAAAACGCGATATTCACACTACGCAGTAGTCGTGAATTATGTTTTTCATATCGCGGTTGAAACTCCAATAAAGTTATTAATGTTGATACCAAAACACAGTTGATTCACACATCGTGACAGCAGCATGGGACATTCTCAGAATTAACTCACCGCAAACACAGGTGCGGGGCCGAGGAGGAGCTTTCCGCCCGTGGGGAGGTCGGCGATGTCGGAATACCAGTCATCAGCCGACCGCACGTAGAGGAACTGAGAGACAACATTCACTTTTTTAAAACAGGCATGAAAATCGTGAGGTGAATTCGAAAAATTTGACACTAGAGTGCAGGGGTTCGCTATTCACGACGCTTTCAGTGTATATCCCCACAAATGACACGAACTTATCATCAAGACTCCGAAGAAATTTCAAACAGCATCGCGGTAGTTCATCGAGCATACATATAGTCTAACAGCAACTGTCCAATAGTGTAGGAAAATATGCACATGGTCAACTACACGTTTGAGGAAAAAAAGGTAATTCTCGCTTACAAATCGAATTGTAAGTCGTGTGTAGATATCCATACTCCTGAGCTCAGGTGAGGAGAAGCAAAAATGTATTCTAACACTGAACCACTCCATTTACATAATTCCAAGCAAAGGTGGGCCAAAACAGCAGCTCCGACACCATCTTCATCAACCACAGAGGCGAGCTATTTGCAACTAAGGAGAAGAAAAATAACACTGTCAACTTTAGATCAAAAGTCGGTACCGTTTTCCATGCCATTAGAAAAGAAGCCGTCGGCCCAGGCTGGTGATGCTGATCGATTCGGCCGACTTCTTGAGAAAAACCATCGTTGGGAACTCCGCCGTGGTGACACGTGGTGACGGCTTGCAGCCGCTAGAATTCTCTGCCACTGTGGAGACATCAACATAGAGACGGCAAAGTTTACTGGAGAATATTCTTATCAACACTGTGCTCGAATGTGATTACCCCAGGACCAGTAAAACACAGAGTTATCGAATACGTATAACTTCACTACCAAACGCCCACATAATGAGGCTCATTTCATGTGATGCACATGTTAGGTTTACATGATGTAATTTGCATCATGTAAACACTAAAAAAATATTTACCACGCTTGGACTAGCGCTTTTCAGTTCTCTAGTTCTCAAGCTACTCGCAAGTAGGATCATTCAACAACAGAGTGACAATGCTCTTCTCCACATCAACATTGTCGATACGTGTACGATGGGAGAACAACTCCGTAGAGTTTATCGATTGAATATTAACACCAGAGCTCCAAGTGTTGGAGTCCAACAGGTGTCAATCTCGTCGCGTTTACCTTTCCTCCCCATACTCGGAAAACGCAAATACAAAATGAAAATTCATTGAAATTCGTGAGTATCACTCTGAGGAACAGATCGTTGTTCGACAAACGACGAGGACGGTGGGGTTGCCACATTAGCTGCTGTTATTTCCGCAGTCTTCTCGTTGAGCCTGAATCTGACCAAGCGATAGTTTCCTAGCTTTAACACACAATGAATTTGCTCACGCTAGCACCACTTCGCGTGCAACTTCCTCTACCTCCTCAGCTCGGCAGGGCTCAGCAAGAAACGGCTCGTACCAAGTTGAATACTACGAGAAAAATGAGTAAATGTAGAATGACAATAAACGACTATGCCTACCATTCCTCCCACAACGTCCATCTGATGAACAGGGGTAACCCCATGCAAACGAAACGATAACAAAGCACATGCAACACCGATGAGCTCACCTGTGGTGACACGATGAGGGAAAACGTTTCAAAAAGCAGTTAACTTACCACTCCTTTGTGTAACTATTTTAGGTGACAAATAAGATGAGTTCGCGAGTTGATATGATTTGCTGATAACAGACTTGCGAACTTCTGGAGAAACGCCAACGGGGATAGCCTGAAACCCCACAAAAATCAATACAGTTCCACTCGTGATATGAAAAACATACTTCACATTTCACTTCGCGAAAAACGCCTGTGAGCAGTGAATAACGCGTAAAACGCGTGAAATATTTCACGTAAAATTAGGTGATCTGTTCGGTATTATTCGCGAACCGTTTTCCATTAACTCCACTTCACGAATATCGCGTTTTTCACATGGAGTATTGAGCCACTTCGCGTGAACCGGATGAAACTTCAATGGAGTTCCACCCGTTCCACGTGAAATGGCGTAAAACTCTGCGAAAAACGCGATATTCGCGGTGATATGCAGCAGTCGTGAAATATGTTCTTCTCTAGTGTTTTTCATATCACTAGGGTGGTGAAACTCCAATGATATCCATTCCTTCCTTAACATTATACTAGGAAATCGAAATTCCTTTCCGACGGTTGACCATAACTCACCGAAGCCAGAATGGTTCCCAATGCTCGTCCAGGCCGATCCCAATCGTTGTCGAATTGGCACTTTGATATTCTCAATAGAACTCCCTCCTGAATGTGAAGGACGATCAATGACAGCCTAGGAAGGGGAATATATGCTTGCTTTCCTCAGCTAAGTTTTCTCATCAGTATCATGGAAATCTGCGCACGACTAAGGCATTTGACTTTTATGAAGACCAATAAGAATTTCCTCATTATTATAAATACGTGTAGTTGATCATCTGCATGCTTCCCTACACTGGAGTTTCACCACCCTAGTGATATCAAAAACACTAGTGAAAAACATATTTCACGACTACTGCATATCACCCGGTGATAATCACCGCGAATATCGCGTTCATCGCCACTTCGCGTAAAACGGGTAGTCGTGAAACTCCATTGTTGATGATAACAACATCAGCGTGGGCAACAGCCACATGGTCAACTACACGTGTTGGTGACAATATGAAATTTCTGATAAAATTTCGGGATATTCTCATTGATTTATAAAAACTTCTACACTAATTCGTATAAATACTCCCATAATTAGTGAGAAAACTCCCGATATCCGCTCTGGAAAATAAACACATATTTCTCGAAAACTGCCCATCACCACATACCGCACGCTCACCATCACGCATATCTTCTCTATTATCTCCTCTTCAGGTGGATTCACAGCGGTTACTCCGCCAACCTGTCCCACCTAAGAATACGCCCTTTTAAACTCCAAGTCGTTACCGTTCAACCGAGATTTTCTTCACTCAACTACAGCGAAAATTCCGGATATCACTTCAACTAAATAATCCTGTCACACGTGTCGCCACCCCAGAATTGCGATTCATTACCGAAGGAATGGCGAATGCCAAACCGTTTTAGGAAGTCAAATAGAACATCTGTTGATTTGTAATGAACATTGGAGTTTCACCCGTGATGTGAAAAACGCTAGTGAAAAACATATTTCACGACTAAGACACAAATATCGCGTTTTTCACGGAGTTTAACACCACTTTACGTAAAACGGGTCGTGAAACTCCATTGTTGCACATAGTAGAGCTAGGCTTGAAACGGATTGTTGCAAAAGTAAAGCCATTCCATTCCCCACCTCTCCTTTTCGCATTTTGACACGACGGACCGCTGAAGCCCATCTGATGAAAATAAATCTATTTCCATACTCACCGAGAGCCTACCTGTTATGACACCGGATGAGGTCCCTCATACGTAGGGAATATTTCTCACTAGAGTCGGTCACTTTGAATGCTAGCCATATGCAGGCCAGCACCAGCGGGATGATACACTGATTCGGAGAAGTGTGGCGGGAAAACTCGCGGAATTCGAGTTGTTATTTCAATATTATAAAATCTCATTCACACCAACTAAGAGGAAAATTTTTTTTTCCTCAAAAAATTTGCATTTGGAATTATGGTTTCGGAACTCCCCGGGTGAGTCGCCATGCCTGATTTATGAGGCTGTCATCGAGAGGATATTTTACAAAATTATAGGCGAAATACTGTACGGGGAAATCACAGTTTGTACATCCTCGTGAGAAACAGTGCGTGGGAATTTGATATGCAAATGCGAAAAAAAATGTACATCATTCCTGAGATCGCGAAAAACAATATAAACATTGCTATGAACATGTGATAATGGTAACCTTTCGAGACTATGATAGCGACAAGTTGTTCACTATCATTAATCCCGGAAAACAAAACGCACATTCTCCACACTAGCATAATATCAATTCTAACCACCCTATATAAAAACCGACATTTTTACTATCACAGCTACGACTATCGAACTATCGAGCTCACCTCCTGCTCTCCAGCGTTGAGCATAGCGTATGGTTGGGACAACGAATAAAGATGGAGGAAACATAGAGCAGTTGCTCTCAGCATATCAACACCTTCTTTGGGGTCTGTTGGAGGTGGTGAAGTAAAGAATTCCCGATACATACATACTAGCATCTGAGGGCAACATCAGGATGAATTGGAGTAATCAACTTGACACTCACCGACACTGCATGCCGCAATGTCTCCTCCTCTCGTACGTCCTTACTGGTCATTGCAGAGGGGGTGGGGGGGAGGCAAACAAATAATACTGATACTGATTATATAACAAAGAAAAAAACAAAAGTGTCAGAGTTCAGTCGCTATCGTGTGTGAGCTCCACAGAGTAATAATAAAATCCGAGTGACCACGTTATGGCAACGCTGACCAAGCTGATTCCTCTGAGCCCACCTCCCCCTCCATACGTAAGAGCAGCTACAGTTAACAAGATAAGGCTACCAACCTCTAGACAACGAGGACCAGTAGATACTCACCAAGAGCAGAATATTCAACACAATGAAGTTTCACCAACCTAGTGATATGAAAAACACTAGTGAAAAAACATATTTCACGACTACTGCACATCACCGCGAATATCGCGTTTTTCACAGAGTTTTACGACGCCACTTCGCGTAAAACGAGTCGTGGAACTCCAATGTTAATAAGCTACTATCCTTTTGCTGTCGACTTAACAGCTCTGGACGTGACTGAAGTCCTGAGAAAGCATGGCTTCTTATCGATAGAATGGTTTGTAAGAAGCCGCTTCTTATCTCATCAATAATCGGTGATAATTCAGTTCAAAATATCTCCATGATGCTGGGATTGAACCCCATACCTCCCCCTTACTAACACAACACCTTATCCATTCCAGTAACTGTTCTCATCTTACAAACCTCCACCGACCATTCATCCGCTCCCCCTAGGAATTACAAAATACGAGAAACAGACAGGTGGTGGTCGTCTTCAGCAACAGCCCCGATGGTATCTGAAATCCCCCGACAATGTATAGTATGCATTATTCATATATCGATAACAGCATAACATGTGGTATTAAATATAATACAAAGTAATATTAAATATGGATATATACTTATGCTTGTCAATGGAGTTTCACGAATCGTTTTACGCGAAGCGGCGTAAAACTCGGTGAAAACGCGGTGATATGCAGTAGTCGTGAAATATGTTTCTCACTAGTGTTTTCCATATCACTAGGGTGGTGAAACCTCAATGATTTATCATCAATGGGTTGATATGTCACATCCTTCCATCTCGAGACCAACCCGATCAGGCCCAACTAGCATAGTATCCCTTCACGCAACGAATGATACACACCATCAACAATAGCAATACGACAATTCATTGTATCCCTTCCACTCTACTTTTCAAGAAAGTGGAACTCTAACGCTTCAAATCTAGTACAACCGCCTCACCCTGTGCTATCACCAAGCTCGATAAGAATCCTTCCGGACCAGGAGTTTATTCCATCATCCATACCCGTTCGATTCCCCAGCTTTGAAACGATCTCCAAGATATCGCCAGGACGCTATTACTACAAACTTCCCGACAATGCAACTCTCCCATTGTCAACTAACTCCCCCCTCCCCTCCTCCCATGACTACATTCCAATGGGTGATCTGCAGTTCGGACACACGTGTATGACGTCCTTTAGGTCGGAACAGCAAAAAGGTAACCAAAAAAATAGGGGAACTGAAAAAAATGCGAATATACTCCCAACGATTCCTCGCGAGGCCTATTACAAGTGCAACAGAGTCCCGCAGCTGCAAAGAGCGTACACGCCCCACTACGATAGTGGACCCTCGTGACGACTGTACACTTGCATACTGGACATACCTGAGCAGAGCAAACAAGGCTAGTTACTGAGAATGAGGGTGGCTTCCTATAAGAGAAATCTAAATTGTTCATGACTACCACTCCTGATCCTAGTGTTCCGATGACTAGCACTACTACTCTATAGCTTGGCTTAAGCCAATGTCCACTATTACCATCGCGATGGGCCTAGATGTCGGCATTGTGAGAGCTCCCCCACCAGAGACAATACGGTCAAGACTCGTCTCTCCACCGCTTATCACAGTGACGTTGCCATTCGGGAGCTGAAGGGAGACAAACAGTATGACAAAGAGTATCGGCTTTCGAACCTCTCTAGTGTGTTTACGATCAACAATACGATCACACTCGGGCTGACACTAACTGGGCAGCCTGTAAATGAGAAACTCACCCTGATAAACCGTTAGAAACCTATACCCTTCAGAAGTCTATTTGACGAGTAGATGTTCCGCATGTGGCTTCCCGAAAACTGATGATGTCGTGAAACTGTATTTGCAATTCGCCAAATTGAGCTTCCTTTAAAAAGGGCATTGCTAAGCTGACCCCCATTATGCCTCAAAAACAACAAATATCTTTTGTCGCGTATATGAGATGCTCAACCACCGGCATAGCCGCCCCACTTCTCAACGTTATAGTTCACAGCTGGCATAGCGGCCCCACTCCTCAAATATATTACTAAATGTAATTATAATTCATAGCTGGCATAGCGGCCCCACTCCTCAAATATATTTCTGAACGTTATTATGATTCATAGTTGGCATAGCGGCCCCACACGACATCAATATATATTATAAAATAATAACCATCCCCGTAGTAGTAATAGTACCGTAGTGGTAGTAGCAGCCTCCCTCGTGTCACCATCACCACCAGCAGCAGGGATGAGTACACCACCTGCTATGCGGTACCTCTGATGAGCCTATAAGGAGAAGAAGTGAGGTAAGTAGGGGATAGTCTAAGTTAAGTGAAGGAATAGTGCAGGTTAAGTAGGGAATAGTGAAAGAAAAGTAAAGGATAGTGTGAGTATAGTCTGAGATAAGGAATAGTCAAAATTGAGTAGGGAATAGTCTAAACTGAGTATGGGATAATGTAAGTAGGGCAATAAATAAGCGACGAAAATGGCAAAGTGCGGCGTATTTCACATCAAAACCACCAACATAAAAAACTCATCACACCTCCAGATCGACGATATTCTGCCTTCCTCTATAATTAACAACAGTGCTATGAGATCGTGTGGGAAGGTCTAGCGACCAACACACTATACACAGTTGATCCCAACGTCACGATATTATTATCACCAATGCCACTAATGACTCTTGTTCCCTCTCGTTGATTACCACATCTCTCTGCCCTGCTATCTCCCTCGGAGGGGCCGTGGCCGTGGGGTAGGTTATGAAGGCCTGTTCAGCTGGTGTTGGTAGGCTATCCTGAGCCATCAACAAACCTTATGGAAACTGAAAGCACAATTCCGTCTGGCTGCTTATTGAAGCAAGGCGGCCTAAAACATACGAATTTGTAAACTAACTTATACATCCGACGTGATGCCAGATAGAGGTTATACAAGCCACAAACAGAAGGCTCATCAACAGCTTCCATTGAACAAACGGCAGTCTTGGAAAATGCACGAAGACAAATGTTAATCAACAGAAAATTTTCCGGTACGACGCATACTACGTAGAATAACGCCATTTCTATCAACTCGACGACGCCGTATACTCTCACGCGAGTTGAAGCAGTTGTAAATCTTGCTCTCTTGCGTCTACTTGCATTTCCTCTAATTCTGCGCAACCACCGAGAGTACTCCCAGGATCGCCGAGTTTTACATGTGTTATCCAATCCTAGGACCCCTAGGATAGCATTCACATGGTCGACCCTAGTGTAATCCCTAGGACAGGAGCGCTGCCGAAGGTCTAGTCAACACGCCGAGGTATCTTCCCTGGCCAAATAAAATCCAAAAACGCCAATAACATCTGCGCTAGCTGCGCTGCTAGCTCTGGGGGGATGAACTATGATGATGAATCGAGAGTGCTCTTAGGCTTCGATCACTCTGAGGATTGTT